TGGAAGCTTGGATCCAAACTCTATTTGTGATTTGTTATCTCCGGTGAGATTCCTGCCATATCTAAGTGGGACCAGGCAAGACAATCGGTATTAGTTTTAAGAAAATCAATGAGTTTTTTCCTGAGCTTGAGGGTTAGTCCCGTGCCTATGTATACCTTTTTATCCGGCAGATGCTTGAATAATATGACTTGTTCCAGTTCCTCGATTGTTGACTTGGTAACATCGTCGTCATCAGGTGCTACAAAGGATCTCGGGACCCCAAAGTCATCTTCCTCATCTGTTAGACGTTCCTCCCATTTTTCGGCTCAGTCCAGGCCGAGACCTGGGATTGCTATTTGGTGCCTTTATCTTTGATTAGCCCCTTATCTTTTGATGATGGCGAAACTCCTCCTTTGCGGCCAATTGTTCCCCGTAAACCGTTTTGATTCCACATGAAGTTGGAAATTTCAACGCCTGGTGCAAGGTCGATGGTACCACCCTCATGCTATGAACCCACAGTCTTATGAATAAGGCGTTGCACCTCATGTACCTCTCGATCATATAGAACTTTGCTTGTTGAGTGGTTCCAGCCGTGTTGAGCGGTAGGATGATTTCACCCTTTATTATCTCTCACGCCATATTGAACCCATTCAGTATTCGAACCGCTAGTACGATTTGATCCGACAACCCCAATCGTTCCACGACTCTCCATCGGATGGTGTTGGTCGAGGTACCTGAATCAATTAACACGTACTTAACTCGAGATTTATTGATAAGTACAGATATTACCAGTGCGTCATTGTAAGGTTGGATAATACCCTTAGCGTCCTCGTCACTAAACGAGATGGATCCTTCCAGGACATAATCTCGAGTTAGTTTTTCTCTTGTGATGGAGACTTTGGTGTGTTTTATCATCGGTCCTTGGGGAATGCCTGCTCCTCCGATGATCATATTAATCACATGTTGGGCTACTTCCTGCTCGACCTGCTTGGCGTCCCTATTTTTGAAATGGTTTTTGGCCCGCTAGCTTAGAAATTCTTGAAGATGCCCATTATTGAACAACCGAGCCACTTCTTCCCTTAATTGCCGACAATCCTCAGTTCTATGCCCGTGAGTACCGTAATATTTGCACATCAAACTGTGATCTCTCTGTGTTGGGTCAGACTGAAGCGGCCTCGGCCATCCAGTTTCCTTTATGCGACTGATGGCTAACACTATACTAGCTGCATCTATGTTGAAGTTTATATTCTGATAGCCTCGGGGAATCCCGGACTCCAAGTAATCTATCAAACCCGTTTTTATTCACCAACCCTTAATTGCTTGGACCCCGATCATTTCTTCTGTCGAACCTGGCCAAATAGTTAGGTCTGTTTCCCCTTCTATCCGAGTTGTAAGACTGGTATCGATCTCGGGGTGGCCTCGACTCCTACACTGCTCTGTTAAACTTGTCATTCGCTCTACAGGGATAAACCGAACCTGAGGGGGTCCCTAATTGGTCTTCCTCGACTATGATATTTGACTAGTACCTGTTGTGGACATCAACCCAGGTAACCGCTGGATACTCTATTATATTTTGCTTCAGCTGTTGAGATGCAACCAAACTTCGGGGGTTGAGCCGCTGAGTAAATGTCTGAACGGCCCAATTGTCTGCAACTGGTGGCAGGTCCATCCGTTTCATTTGGAATCTTGATACGAATTCCCTAAGCATCTCGTTATCCCTCTGCTTAACTTTGCACAGGTCTGATTTCCTTGTCTCAACTTTAATGGCCCCGACCTGAGCTTTACGAAGGCATCTGCAAGCATAACAAACGAATCAATAGAGTTTTGAGGTAAATTATGATACCATATCATTGCTCCCTTGGACAGGGTTTTCCCAAATTTCTTCATCAATACCGACTCAATCTCGTCATCCTCGAGGTCGTTACCTTTTATTGCACATGTGTAAGAGGTTACATGCTCGTTTGGATATGTGGTCCCATTGTATTTGGGAATATCGGACATTCAGAACCTTTTTGGAATCGTCTTTAGTGCCGCACTTGGGGGGGGGGGGGGGGAAGGCTTGTGAATCAACTTTTTGGAATTCCGTCCCTTCACTATCGGAGGTGCCCTCAGGATCTGATCGACCCTCGAATTATATGTTTCCACTTTCTTATCGTTTGCCTCCATCTTGTTTTCACCGGATTCTACCCGTTTTGTCAGTGCGTCGAGCATTTTTATCACCTCGGAAATTTCTCCGGATCTGGACATGTCGGGCTCTGTGACAATCCGCTCTTCCCTCCGAGTACCTTCTCCCACCCGTTCGGGTTCAGCCGCATTGTGCGCGTGATTTGATTCTGCAATTGTGCTATGGCAATTTGTTAGGCTTGCAACATTTCAAAAATTAAACGTAAGCTAACTCCACCGCCTCTCCCTTTAGGCGCTTCATGAATTGATGGCTGAGGTGCCCCGTGAGCGCTGTTATTCGGGTCAGTTGGTACATTAGCATTGATAACGACCTATGAGTTGGCATCGACCTGATCGACGATTGGAACGCCGTTAAGGTCCACAAAGGGTGTTGCTAGGCATTCTCTTATTATTTTCACTGTGGTGGCCTGATTCAGTGTCAACACTTAAGTGAGAAGACTAGGAATCTGATATATTGAATAATCATGAAATCAAACTTCAAAGAACAAGTGTAAAATAGAGTGTGTTATCAAGATTCGTATTAAATCACCATTATTATCCTTAGTCTCACCGTGGGTGCCAAACTGTTTACCCTTATAATAACAATTAAATTTGTATGCGGTTTAAAGGATATGTGGTTTGATTTAACACAAATGATCAAAGAACAATAAATAATTGAATTGACATGAGATAAAACGATCTAACCAATGTGGCGAAGTAATTAAGCCCCGTGTTAGGCTTAAATGGTAACGGTCGGTTTCAATCGAGCCCTCGAGTTAGAGCTCGGATCCAACTAACTGAGTGAATAACAGAACATCACTTAAACAATTGCTGAAACCCAAAGTAAATATTATTTCCTTGATATGTGTGCCAATAACAGTGTCAAAAAATAAAGGGGTCCTCCTCTTTATATAGTAGAGGAATTTTAACCCTAATACAAGTCTAAATAAGGTAAAAATCTTTTCCTTCATTTTCTATCAAGAGAGTATGAACCGCAGTCAATACCGAGCGTGATTCGCGCCGTAATATCCGGCTGATGGCGGATATTTCGGCTCTCCATTTGTCTCCTTTAACCGTTATTTCTTTACCCTCAATTCTTCATATTGCTCGAGCTGGATTCTCTCTGGGTTCGTCCATGCTCGATACCCAACATATCATTCACCCGCTCTTGATTTTGATATGTGGGCACCTTCGGTCTTACTCGAGCCAGTAACGAATAACGTCGTTACTCGCTTCACAACGGAAAATCGGGCTAACTCTATCCCCAATTTTACCCATATACAGATAGTATAAATTAGCATTCTGATTCAACTAAAGATCAGCCCCCTCATATCTTCCCATCCATATTGTTCACGCATACACTTCTTAAAAAAAAAAAAAAAAAAAAAAAAAAAGTTTAAGGTTGTAATCCAACTATCAAGAAAACATCGACTTAGCTATTTAATGGAATTTAAAATTGAAAATTATTTTACTTTCTCGTAACATCTAGAGAACCATGCAAACTCTATTTTCTTTTTCGTTTTACTTTTTCATCTTCCCTCTTTCTTTCTTTCTTTCTTTCTTTCTTTTTATTGCCATAATAAGATAAGTTAATAGCGTACGTTCACTTTATTGCAAACGGTAAGATGAAGTATGACTTGGACAAAATCCAAGAAAGCAATAATACAATTGGGAATGGATCCTTTCGGGAATCAAAGCCACAAGACTCTATAGGAGAGATTGAGATTTCCTAAAAGCAAGGATACATGCGTGTGATTCGATAAAAAGCATAAAGTTTCGATCTATATGTTCTTGCAAGTTGTAACTTTGTTCCTTGATTCATGTTAAGACTAGATATATCTTTACCCTTCCACAAAAATAGGAGCTTTATCTACATATTATAGAGTATCACAACAACATGTCGCGTGAGAATTTTGCACTAAAAATCAATTAAAATCTTATACTCCTGTCATCCGAGTTTTTCTTGTGATGTTTGTTATATATCAAGAGTTAAGTTGACTAATTCTTTCAATTGAATCAACTAGATAAATAAATATTTTAACTCAGAATACAAATATAAGAATCATGAACGTACTAAATTGTAGTTGTCCCAATTAAAAAGCGATATTTATGATCTTGTTTGGACTTGAAAAAGCTTCCTCTTTTTCAATTTTAAAAGTGAATGAGCTTATATAGAAGAAGTTAGAAAAGAGCAAATTTATACTCGGAATTCAATGTAAAAAAGCAAAGCTATTGATATCGTTAAAGTTAGAACGAAATCATAGACTACGGTTTTTAAAAGTTAGGTAATTTTTTAATATTAAGCTTTATTGTATAAAATTACTCAAATAAATATAAATCGAAATATTTAAACAAAGTTATTTGATATACATATATTGACAAATACGTAATAAAATAGCTCAAATACACTCAAGGTGACTTAGAAAAAAAATATTATTCTTAAAGAAAAAATCATTCTCGCAAAAGAAAGTGCCCAAAAATTTTGAAATAAATACACATAGTAATCATTTGAAGAAAAATGTAGAATCTTTTATATATGTGATAATATCTTCATGTTGACGTGGCAGAATCTGCTGTACTATCCATTACAACGATGATGGACGCGAATCCACCATATCTCATCCCTCTTCTCCTTCGCTTTCATCTCCATTACTTGACACGTCAGCATATACCTCCAAATTCAGGCTTCCGATTGGGTTCCACTCAAGGGTTAATATTCCCTTACAGGAATCATCGCCCCTTTTCCGGGTCCCACTCCACGTAACATCCCTTTCTCAAATTACCCAAATACCCCCAAAATTACTTAAAATAACGGAAGTGCTCTCGCCGTCTTGTTTATAAATTCCATGCCCCTCTCTTCATTACTCTCTCGTGTCATATCTCCTAACTCTTAATTCCACACACTTCTAGAGAGAAACAAAGAGATTGTGTAATTGTCTTACTCTTGAGTCTTGTGTGGCCTATTTTTGAATTTTCGGAAAATGTTGGGTGTATTTAGCAGTTCCATTGTTTCGCCGCCCGACGAGCTTGTGGCCGCCGGAAGCCGGACTCCGTCGCCTAAGATCAAGGCGGAAGCTCTGGTGAAACGGTTCGTTCAAAACAATTCGTCGGCGGTTTCTATGCAGATCGGCGATCATGTCCAACTCGCTTACACTCACTACAACGAGTCCGCTGTACTCCCCAGGTATAACAACTAAAGAACTTAATAGAAATGTTGTGACTGATTCTATAAAGTTAATTTTAGCTGAGTGTTTAAATGTAATTTCCAAATTGAAAAGTTTAACTGAAGGTGCTAAATAGAAATTGGTCAGCTTTGACAACGTGATCTGAAACGTTGATGAATTTGTTGATATGTTGATCAACGGTTTGGATTGGACGATTTGATGGATGTGACATCATGAATTAGGATTATCATGCATGATGCTTATTTGAGTGGTAATTCAAATGCACTGATTTTCTACACCAAATTAAACTGATTCTAGAAGTTTCTGAGAGGTTTCTCACTCTATTATTGAGGTAAGTATACCAGACTTTATAAAAGATGATACGTTGTTGAAGGTCAAATTTAGCTAATAGCGTAAAATATTTATTAAATTATCGGCGCATAGAATAAATACATCTACTTTGTTGTTCTAATTTTGTTGTTGTTGTTGTACATGTATATTGCATTTACTAAGTTTCGTTTTGATGATCACTCCGAATTTTTTCGTTGCTTATTCCTTTTAGTTTCATTGGTAAAATCATATGCTGCTATTAGTTAAATAGATTTTTATTATTATTTGTAAATAAGTTTTTAAAAACTTATTTATTCAACCTCTCCACGTGTTACCATTTCCATCTTCATTTTTAGGACATGTTGATATCCGATTATTTTAGCTAATTTAGATATCGTATAATCTGTTTGAGTAATGTTAGACTAAAAATTTCTAGTTAATATTTCAGTAAACTGATTATTTTTATTAAATATCGAATATTTTTCTGATAATCCAAATAAAACAATTTTTTAGTACTAGAAACTGTCATCAATTTTAAGTCAAACCAGAAGCCGGGGAACTTCTTGGTTTCTTTTAGATAGAAACTAAAAAAGATGATGACGGCTGAGAGAAGCAAAACAGTCGGCTAACAATCATGTGATCTGACGGTCAAGATCATGTTAGCATTTATTAGTTTCATCATCAACCTTTCTTTTTCGTTTTCTTTTCATCATCAACCTTTCGGTGGAGACGAAATAATCCAATATAGTACTTATTTACAATTTGAACACCAAAAAAAAAAGGACTCTCTAAAGTGTTGAAGTCCCACATCAGTTGTGTGAGGAAAAAAGTGATCTTTATACTATAAATTTTGGACAATTTTCATTTTTTGAGCTATTTTTTTTTAGTTGAGTTAGGTTAAGAGATGCTTTTATATCGTAAAGATTTATTTTCAGCTTTCTTCTTTGCACGGTAACATGTTCTGGAATTTCAGTGTATTAAGATGGTGATAATGGTAATTATAATAATTATTATTATAATCCTAAACCTTGTAGGTGGTTCTCGAAATTTCTTGGGAAGCCCCATCTAGCTTTTAGATCCACAGACATAGGCACGTAACACTAACTGTCACCAATTAACGTCGACAAAGTGGATGGAAGAATAAGCTTGTCAAAGTTTAATAACTACTGTATTCAAGGAATCCAAATCATAATTTACATGGAGAGGACCGTTAGCTTAGCTGAAACCAAGAACCTTAATAAAATATTGTAGCGCTTATAAGATGGACTGTTTAGGGCTTGCCACAGGGGCAAGATATTTCCATAGTGAAACTCAAAACTTATAGCTTTCCGCAAACTGGACAAATTCACTGTTTGTCAGTGGCCAGGGAGAAGATTGTCACGTGAATTGTTAGCAGACATAAATCAACAGATTTTATCTTATCATTATTTTTGGGAGAAGTTTTATTTTGTGCCTAACACAACTTATATTAATTGTGTGAGGCTTCTTTTTCTCTCACAAATTTATGAACCCCAAATCTTACACTTCCAGATTCACAAAATCTGGGTCCACTAAACTATGAGACAAAAAAAATGTCTCATAGTTGTATGGGACACAAAATAAAATTTTCCTTATTTCTAGATATAATTAACAAAGGGGAGATCTGACACATGTGACATGACCTTGCCCCAACAAGTATGAGATATACATCTTTCCATTCATTTTTAGGTATTCACTCCCGACTTCAAATTTTCTTTTAAAAAAATTAATTTATAAGTTTATCCGTAATAATCATGACACTTCAGAAATTTTAAAAATAAATTAAGAAATGAATAGTTAATAATAAGGGTAAATAAGGAAAAAAAATTTCTTTTTCTTGATTTGCTAAACTAAACAAGTAAAAACAAAAATAAATTTTTATTATAGTGAATAAGTAAAAATATACGGTAACTGAATTAACTAGGAGGGTGTTTGGATTGGCTTTTAAGCTGATCAAATCAGCTTTTAAGCTCTTTTTAGCTCTTAGTTATTAATGGCGGAGGGCTTGCTGACCCCGCGGTAGTGGGGATTGTCAGATAGGAAAATCTATTGGAAAAGAGTAGTGAATCGAAATTATAGCCATGTTACTTTTGTTACTTTGTCTCTTGTTACTTTTTCCTGATTAGATCAGTATTCTGCCTATATAAAAGGAATTGGGTTGTTGGCGATAAGTTAGTAAATCGACTATTAGGGAAAGTTGCAAGATTTTTGAAGAAGCAATTTTAGAACACTTTTCTTGGTGGAATCATCTCCACAATTGCCTTTGAAAATTGAGGGCGGGATCTGGGTAGTTGGAGAATGGACTTTAAAATGATTTTACTACAGTTAATACTTTAAGCAAGCTTCCTTTGAACCAAAAAAAGCAAGCTTCCTAGTTGTCAATTGAAAGGGAAGGCAAGTGCCTTCTACCAAGATTTACTGGGCGTTTGGACATAATTGTAAAATTCCAAAAAAATAAAAAAAAGTGAAAAAATTTTTCAAATGAAAATGGTATTTGAAAATTCAGTTGTGTTTGGATATGAATATAATTTTGGGTTGTTTTTGAAGTTTTTTGAGTAGTCTGGGTGAAAATTTTGAAAAACAAATTTTTGGAGTTTTTCAAATTTTCAAAAAATTCCAAAAGCATCTTCAAGTGAAATTTGAAAATTTTATGACCAAAAGCTGATTTTGGAAAAAAGTGAAAATTTTCTTTATGTCTTAACGGGTTCTTAATGTTTTACTCGAGGGTTATTCCTGTCCCTTGAAAAAAGCATATAGAATTCTGTATGCACAGTCGTTTTAGTTATTTCTTGATAAGGATCATATTTGAGTTACAATTGTAAACTTGTTTTGCTAAGGATAAGATTCTGTACCGTAAATGTTGTATCAGCTTTATGAAAGCATCTGTCTTGGTCTTTCAATACAATTTTGTGCTGTTTAAAAGTTGTTCCAATTGAGATGTAAATGTATAGACTTAACTTAATGGGGGAAATGGCAGGTCATTTGCTGTTAAGGATGACATATTTTGCTTGTTTGAGGGATCACTTGACAACTTAGGGAGTCTGAGGCAACAGTATGGCCTTTCCAAGTCTGCAAATGAGGTGATGCTGGTGATTGAAGCATACAAGGCACTTCGTGACAGGGCACCTTACCCTCCAAATCATGTTGTTGGTCACCTTGAAGGCAATTTTACTTTCATTGTCTTTGACAAGTCCACCTCCACCTTATTTGTAGCTACTGTAAGTAACTTTTACCTACCCAAATTCCCTTTTGTTGTAGTAGGTGTGGTTTGATTTTGATACTTACCTATGAAATTTTTTGATTTTTTTGTAAACAGGATCAAGTTGGTAAGGTACCCCTCTACTGGGGAATCACTGCTGATGGGTATGTGGCCTTTGCCAATGATGCTGATTTGCTCAAAGGTGCTTGTGGCAAGTCACTTGCTTCTTTTCCTCAAGGTTGGTTTGACAGATTATTCTTCTCATTTAGGTGGTCTGGTTATCTAGTGGGATAACTATCGAAGGAATTATGCTTTTTAGACTTACCATGACCAAATTAACATGTTTGTAAATAAATAATTGAGAAACTGATATTCACAGAGGCAAGAAATCAATCCAACCAGAACATGAAACATATCCTTTGTCCTTTATACTTTTCTTAAACGACATCTTTTATTTGCATTTTCAGGGTGTTTCTACTCGACATCAGTTGGAGAACTGAGAAGCTACGAGAACCCCAAAAATAAGATCACAGCCGTTCCTGCTACTGAGGAAGAAATCTGGGGTACTAAGTATATGGTAAGTGATATTTTAGTAGCATAGCTACATATTACTCTAGTCATTCTGAGATACTGGTCCCCAAGTAACATCATCTGTGGTGGTCCCTTGGTCTTATGCTGATTATATATTCTAGATAACTGAAGATTCATCCTATATGGGCTTTGGAGCTCTGAAAATTCAGTCTCCCTAATTCCACGTAATCTGATACTTATTTCTACATGATCAACAAGTTAACATCATAGCAACATTGACATCACTACAATCCATGGTGGATATTTCATTTTTGGCCATAAATTTAGTGTTTATCAAGAAAATATAGTACTATTATAAACTAGTGAATTATTTCAGAGCATGCTAGGGACAACCATATTGAAAGGACTTGTTCATCAACGATCATCACTGATCCAAAGCAAACGTCAGTGTCATAATGACTAACTTTGATATAGCAAGTTCACTTTCTCTCACTCATGCACCTATTTATTTGGAATGGAAGTGCGCTTAGTTATCAAATATAGACAAACCATTAGGAAGTGGACCCTTATGTGACAACTTGACAGAAACTTTTACTATATCTTCACTATCAATATCGGAGCAATTAGATTCAGATTACGACCTTTTAACATTGGCATTTTTTACTGGCCCCGCCTGCCTGTATCATCTATCTATCCGTGAATGTACCTGTTCAAATCAAATAACCTTATCAATACTTTTATGTGATGACCACAAAGACTTTTAAACACAATAAGGTCATAAAAGGACAACCAGACCTCTTATTCATGATTGACGAAACTATGAAAACCCACTTGCCTCTTTCTACACTATATGCTCTAGCATGTAGTGGCTCTATATATGAATACAATCCAACTTAGTGGTAGCAGATATCGTATCTTGTTCCTTTATGTCGATTTGAACTATGTATATAATATATAAAATATCTTTTAACAAAATACATATATTTGTATGTATATACATTAAGTCGCATCGAATGCTACAAGGTAATAAGGGATGCAGCAGTATTTCGTATTTCCATTCAAAATCACGGGTTTGTTTCTGAACCACATGTTATCTCTTACGCTGTTGCTGAAAAGGATCCTGTTGATATTTCAGGTGGAAGGTTCAGCCGTTGTTCTTGCAGCCACAAAATAGAAGATTTGGTTTTCCTCTCAGAGCTCTGCTGGAAAAAAGAAAGCCGTGAGTGGCAAAGAATGCAGGGCAGGGCATTGGTGGGAGCCATGTAAATAAGTGAATTGAGTGTTTTCTATTCCTATGTTCTACTTTTGTGCTGCTTTAGGATAAGGTTAGGTTGAAAGTATGATGTTTGGTTTCTTTTAGGTATTTTAACTACTTCAATCAATGTACACCTTTCTTGACTTCAATAATAATGTTGGTAATACGTTGGAAGTGCTCAATCAAGAACCTGCCTAAGTCTTGTGCAATTTCTTCTTTTTCTTTTTTATCTCATAAATGGATTCAACTACTTCAAGATACTTTTTTATTCGCTCTTCGACAGCCTTAGTCACTTGAAGCTCAGCCATTTGCTTTGCCATGTGTTGTCTTCCTCCAGTTGCCCAATCACTAACCATGGATAAAGAAAAATTGTTTCAACCTCAAGAAAAACACAATCTAGAATAAATATGTAATTTAAATTCAAAATTGTAACAAAGCATCGTTGATTAATTATATACCCGGCTCATAAGTAGAAAGTTGTTCTTTACTAATCGGGGATAACACTCCGGTTTCTACCTTCTTCTTGAAGACCTTGCTCGGTCATCCTTGATTGCAAAAATTTCGAAAATACCCGTAATGATTAGTCTCCATGTAAAAACTTGAAATAACAGTAATTTTTGTTCTCAATTTTTGGTATGGAAATATTTTTAAATACATTTTCTTTGTTATGTACCTTATTTACACTTCATCAGCATCTTAAATTACCCCTCTCACGGAAACTTGTTAGAAAATAAATAAGAGCTAATGGCTTAAAAGTCTCCTAAACTATCATGGTTTTGCACGTTTCATACTTAAATTATACCTTGTTCATATTATTCCCATCAACCATAACTTTGAAGGGTAGTTTGGTACTTAAGGTGTGAGATTAAATTTATACTATGTTTGGTTGACGGTATATATTTATTTCAGGTTAAATTAATACGATCAACCAAACATGGTATAATTCAATCCCAGTCTTAATTAATATAGGATATCCCACCTTATCCCATCAAACTTGGTATTATATTATCCCATCTCCCAGATAGGATAAATTAGTGTAGGGATTATAATCCTGGGATAATTTAGTCCGCGTGCCAAACGACCCCTTAAGGGTTAAACCCCCCTCTCCTCCCTCTCTTCCTCCTCCCCCCTTCCCCC